TCCAACATATGTATCTTTTTGAAGTGCTTCTTTCAGCGCGAGTCCTACATCACTGGCCATCACACCAACCACCCGTTTACTCGAGGCATTTTGATACGCTTAATACTAGTAAATGAAAGGACAGTAACTAAAAATATCTGTACTACTCATTCTCAGAAACTGCTTTCTTCACAAAAACTAGCAGATAAGATTTTAACAAAGGTAGACAAAAACAAAGATAAAACGTTGACATTGTTCCCATAGCATGCTATAAATATAGTCATTATGGTGCAAAAAAAAACAAGTTGAGGAAATTATTTTTTCTGGGTGTAACACTTTTAATGTCACTGAGTATAATCTGTTCATTCGTTCAACGCAAAGAAGATATAAATAGCAGGGTTATTATGCATACGGCAAGCAGCTACTTTACACAGAAGGCATTTTAGCCACTCCCATTGAGTTGGAATTTGCAACAAAGTACCTTTTACACGACGCATTTAAATTTGGCTACTTAACGTAAATCAGCATACCATGGTACAATCTATGGTTTAAACCGGTTTTCAGGTCAGTGCAGAGAATTTTGAAAGATTTGCTTCAGGTAGATTGACTCCGACTTTTCTCTTTTTTAAAATTAGGCACATGGAAACGTTGCACCCCTTGGGGACCTTTCTTGTCTATTCCTCAAAACTAACAGTAAAATATAGGGATAGTAAAAACATTAGTCCTTCACAATTGAAAGAACTATAGTTTATTCTGGTTTCCTTATGGATAGCACATAGCGATATAGCATCCCTTGTATGGCTAAGATTCAGGGCGCCTATTATACCTTGTGCCACCACTACAGAAAGTGCTTAAAACTGCACAATGGAGAATTTACACACCTAATAATGGTTCAGTGATACCTAGGATATACTGAATACCAGAGCAATCTTTAAAACCTGCCTCCAAAGGCATGACAAACATGTTTTTTACAATAGTTGACACCTCAAACCTCTATGTTTATGTTGCTATGTAGTTATGAATTACCATATACAGAGCGGCATATTTTTCAAGTTAAGAGCATGTATTTTCCCATGGGCGCCATTAGGGGGGGCATATGCTTCCCTGGATTCCGCCTGAGGAGTAACATATAATAGAGTACCTGTTTTTCGACAGATGAGTGGCGTCCCTACAAATTTTTGTTCCTCTTCTGCACAGGTCCCAACCCTGCTTCAAACTGGTTGACTGTGTCTGTAAGCCTGACTTGCCCCTTCTGAATTTTGCTATATAGGTTTTTTGTAAATTACTTTTTCAGATATCTTTATACAGGGTGCGGCAGAGAGGACGGACATTTTTGGGATGGGTAGTACTCTCCGCCTCCGTCTACGAGAGAGGTGGGGAGGGTGCCGTTTGACTCGTGAGATCCTAGCATTATTTTACCAGTTGTCGTTATGGAGCCTTGGACGGTGGAGCACCGCGTTTTACCTATGAGTGACGAAGCCCACGTTCAAATAAACAGCATGGTTAACCAGCAGAATTGTCGTTATTGGGCTAATGAATATCCGCAACAGTTACACGAAAGACCGCTGCACAGCCCAAAAGTAACGGTTTGGTGCGCCGTATCGCAAACTTGCATCATTGGCCCTTACTTCTTCCACGACGGTAATGGTCGTGATGTTACCGTGAACTCAGAGCGCTACGTCGACATGATCACCAACTTCTTTCTCCCTGAATTACGACGGCGACGTGTTCCAATCCGACGTGTGTGGTTCCAGCAGGATGGGGCGACCGCCCACACAGCCCGAGCATCCATGGACGTTATTCGCCCTATCTTCCCTGGTCGCCTTATTTCCAGGTGTGGCGATGTTCATTGGCCTCTTCGGTCCCTAGATTTATCCATATGCGATTTTTTCTTATGGGGACACCTCAAGGCTAGAGTATACGCGTTCAAGCCCCGAACTCTGGACGAATTGAAGGGCGAAATTCGCGTGGAAGTCGCCCAAGTTGAGAGAGCGATGTTGGAGAGAGTCTACGCGAACTTCCAAGAACGCCTCCAGCACTGCATCAACGATTTCGGCCACCACATGCCTGATGTGATTTTCCTCACTTGACTGTCTCAAATGCTATTTCCTTGTGAACGTGATTCCATCAATAAATTTGTTTTCGAGTAAAAATCAACTATTTTATGATTTTTTTACAACCGTCCATCCTCTCTGCCGCACCCTGTAATAACGGAGTAATAAACCGATCTCATCCTAAAAGTCACCCTGTATATCCATATCCCTTTTGCTTATCAATGAAACAGTATCCTTACTAAGCTCCGACAGATAAGTCTATCTTCAGCATAGGAAGTAACGTTCCCAATGCATTACGCGTATGAATATTCAATGCATCCGTGTATTATAACAGTTATAACAGTATTTTCTAAATGAGAAATAATTGTTATACTTTTTCGAAGTGTGTCAGACTTTGTTCATTGATAAAACTTCCGTGTGTACGAACGTTTTTGAGAGCTGGTATGCAGGTGAGAATTGAGAATTATTGAAATTTTTTAAAATTTAGAATTGCTTATCATTGTCTGAACGAATCAAACTACATTTATGTTTACGTTTCGGTTTATTGTACGTTTCGACCACCACGGTGGCCCATTTCAAGTACAATTGAGCATTCTTCTATACAGTGCATTACTACAACAGTCTGAACATGCCTGTAACTTGCTGAGATTTTCTTGAAGCCTCCATTGCAATTTTAAAATGGCAATGCGTAAAACCAGCAAAGCCCAGGATCGACAAGGGGTAGGCATTCCCGCTTCCGAAAGGACGTCCACCGACCTTATTATATTTTAGAAAATGTTCATCTGATTTCAACACAGTATTTCGAAAACAGATATAGTTTCCCCCAGATTTAGCGTGGTCTCACAAATATATTTTAACGAGCACGTATCCATTTTCATCCATTGTTTAACATTTCTTTTATTTAATTACTCTCCAATTTACAAAATGCTACATGTACAGAAAAAGTAGTTGTTGAAGATGAGAATATGTACACCTTAATAAAATAACAACTCAAGAGCTCATCTTTAGAAATTAATACTCAACTCTTCAGGAATGAAAACCAAATGGGTCAAGATGATCAACTCATCGATTTTTACATTTTTAAGCATTATGTAGACTACATGGAGTGTGTAAACACGGACAGGTTCAATAATTTCAAAAATGGATATTCTCTTGTCTTGATAAGCAAGACAAACGATATGAGCATGATAGTATAGGTCGGATATATTAGATTTGTTCCAACCTTGAGTTTTGAATTCGTACAGAACCATCCGGTTATAATTTGGTACGCTTTTACGCAGAAATATTTCGGGACTATAAGGTGGTTGGAACGGGTACTAGTGACAGATAGCCCCTTCGTCACTACACCACGCAATGAAAACTTGACAATATCAATAAATTATCTTTCAATAGAAAATACACAGTCTATCAGAGCACGGTTACAGTTTGGGTGGAGGTTAGAGGCAATCACCTGAGAACAGCTCTACTACGCAGGTCAGTTCCTTTAATTCACCTTTCAATGCAGGTACCGAGTTCACTGTAAGAAAACGACCCCAATATTGATTGGAACGAAATTTTTTGACATTATATTGGTTTTTTGTGGCATTATGTAGGTTTTTCTACAAGGTGTTAACATAGCCCTAGCTGATGGACACGTTGTGAACTCGTTTTGTTGTTGTACGTGTTGCCTAAACGTCATGAGGCTTCGGTTATCAATGTTTGGCTCTGATGTAAAATCCGCTTCAGAGATGGCATTACTGGAGGTAACAGTAATGCATCGGTGCATCGTGGGGATTTGTGTGCTAATAATATATGTTAATGATAATTCCATTGGATTCTTGTCTCAAATACACTTACTTGAGATTCAAAGCTAGAAATTAGTTGCGCATCCACTTTTTCTTATCCATTCTGGAAATTACATAAGCAGATTTGCTGAATTTCAAAAATGAGGGAGATAAGAAATAATTATATTCACTGTTCACTGCCGAGTTACAAGTCATATACATGTTAACAGTAATTACACACAGCGCGGGCGCGGTGTTGATTTCCCGTAATTCTCCCAAAAGTTTTTGAAAACACAAAAAAAAACGTAAAAAATCGTAATTTATAACTTTGAACATAACCTGTCTTCAGAAAGGACAACATATAAATAACCCGTCGGGCACAGCTGATAGATATACTTGGGCAGCATATTCAGTAATGATTTTCTCACATAGCAAATATCACTGATTTCATACACATGCAGACCCATACACACAATCATCCAGATGCGGTCTTGCTATTCAACCAACTTTCTTCTCAGTGGTATAGAAAATATTTTTCATTTCCCTTCTGTAGGGGTCACATTATCTCAGTTTTTACATCACTGGTGTAGCCCCCAAAATTTCTTGCGTAGTTATTACTGTATTTACAAAATTTTAAGCATATATCTATTATGTCCAGGGATATAACGTTATCATGTTTTTAAATTATTTATAGCTTCAACACCCTGTACATAAACTTATCGTGATCTTTTTGGGCCTATATTTGACCCTAAAAATATCGCCATTGTTTTTTGAATGACCTTGTCTTTCTAAAAATTTGTAATCATATTATTAAAGAATAAGACTTTACGTTTTATCCACATTACTACCGATTTAGTAGTTTTTTTGCACGATTCTAGGACGCTAAAAAATAAAACTGTGTCCATGACTCATTGTTAGTTGACTCGTATATATATTACAGCTATAACTTATGTGTGGTAGGTTGTTGGCCCTATGTTTAAGTTATATATGCAAGCATCTCATTTGTAGGTTGATTAAGTATTCCTCTTATTCAGAGATTCATACAAAGTCAATGTTTGCATTATAATCCATATGACCAATACTTTAAATAAATAAATAAAACTTATTTCTTTACTAGTTATCACTAATTTTGTTGTTGGAATGAGTAACATCCACATTAATGTGGGATGATATATGTCTGTTTATGATGCTCATTTTGTTGCAGATGATAAAGGAATAATTTGATATTTCCGACGGTATTTCAACATGGCGACAATGGTAGAAGTTGAAAGTTGGGTGATATACCAATATATTACCAGTGAATGCAGCAACTGTCTGTGTAAGTGTGCTAGATAAGGATAATATGAAATTTATTAAACATTCTCCTTCTACCTATACAGAAGTAGTATTTGTTGCACTTATGCAACTGACTAGTAAAGTTTATAATTAATTGTTATGAAAAATACCTTACAATTCTTTTCCACTGAGCTGAGTATGTTTTTTTACTTTTTTAATTACTCTATAGGCGTATTTTAGTTAATGATTTGAACATAAATGCCGTATTATTTTGTGTTTAAGTATTTAGTTACACAATATTTTATTTCATTCATGTTTTTTACGTTTTTTTTTACTTTTTAGGAACCGTTGCTATTTTTATTTGTTAACGCAAATATTTTTATACCCTACACATTTCTCTTTTAAATGTACACAAGTAAGTACCACATTTTTCATTTATTTTCCCAATTTACCTTTTTTTTTGTTTTAATTCATCAAAATATTTGAAAGGCCCAATTTATATTTATTTTTTGCCTTTTAAAACAGATGGTTGTTTGTACAACTGATTTAGGATATTGCTTACACTTTATCTGAATCTTCTATGTGGATAGTAGGAATAGTACCTGGTTATTTCTGTTTTTAGTTATGACGGAAAGTGCTTTCAAAGCAAGAGACATTGGCCTGAGGGCCCAAAAGAAGATATTATCACGAATGGCTGGCAAAAATATTGCCAGAGCTTTCATCGACGACACCACAGCTTCACTATTGGATAATTTATACAGGCTGGCTAAACAATACGTAAGTTTGCAATTAAAAAATGTAATCAGGTCAGCATTCAGAAATACTGGATGATCCTGCATATGTGGCAACCTGTTCTAACTCATGAGACATATAAAAAAATAATGTTGCAATAGAAAATGTTCTGACAGGTCCGCCTTCGGAAATACAGGCTCATAACATAAAAGGCGTAACTGAAAATTAGTTTTTAAGCAATTTCTTCTGAATGGCCTCCAATTCAACGCTATTAGATTGGTTATATATCAGGAAATAATATTTAGTACCGCCAGATACTTCCCACCAGCCATAAAAGTGATTGCATGAAACATTTTATACAAAATTTTTGAATAAAACATTTTTTCTAAACACGCGTATAAAAAGTTGGATCTCAATTTATATACCTCGTTTAAAGCGTCTGACAGAAGTTACCGCCGTCGGGGAGTCTTTGGCAGTGCTAAATATTATCCGTCGCAATTGATGGCTCCGTCGCTCTTCCTCTTACATATCAACGACCTCCTTCCCTGTACGATCAATCCAATACACAGCTTTGCTGATAACAGCACTCTTCATGCACGACGAGAGACCTGGAGATTATCACTGCTTGGGACTTAACAATCTTGTACAGTTTAGTGCTTCCAAAACTGTACCTTGACGAACAAAAAACGTCCTAGCGCCCATCCGGTTTCGATGGATGGCCAAGTTCTGCCAAAGGGCTGTACATTTCGGCTGGACTTGAACTGGCATACACATTTCGTCAATAGGGACAGCTGCTGGAAAAATAAGTACTTTTCTCCGCATGACCTCTCACTCTATACAAGGCCCAGACAAAACCTAGCCATGAGTATTGCTCACACGTTTGGGGTGCTGCCGCCCCGACTACATTATTTATTTTCGACGCTATCCAGAGGAGGGCTGTCCGACTGATCGATGACGCTTCTCTAACAGACAGTCTCAGGATTATTTCGCACCGGCCGTCGGCGATCTAGGTATTTTCTATCGCTATACCAACGGGCTTTGCTCCTCAGAGCTCTCTTCCATGCCGCGCGATGTGACTGCGGGTACAAAGCCGTTGGAAACGTACACGGTCATGTTAAGCATACATGTAACGCCGGTGAAGATTGATATTCCAACAGGGTGGCCTATTTGTGACTGTTCAGTAGTATGGCTGATAAAAAAGTGCTCAAACATTGCTGTTTATCAAAAAAAATGTTCATTTGACCGATTTCAAACAAGTATAGATTCTTTTCAGGTAGACGACTAGGCTCGTTGAATCGCAGCAGCAAGTATTTTACCTTTCGATAACAGTGTTCTCTTCTTGCAGTCTAACAATAAGAAAGAAGCAGAAAAGCTAGTGAAAAACATAATTAAGGTCGTTATAAAACTGGGAGTCCTTCATAGAAATGGAATGTTATCGGATGAAGAGATAAAACAAGCCGAGAGGTTTAAGTCAAAGTTTCGGAATATTGGAATGGCCATTATATCATTCTATGAGGTAAAATTTGATACATGTATCTATTGGAAATAAGTTATATGTACTTTATTTTTATCAAACGTATTGATTTTCTAGCAAATATTTCATGAATTATGCTAATTTCTTTGTTTCAGGTCGATTTCAGTTATGACCGAAACTACCTCACTCAATCGTTTAAAGACTCTCAAAAATGTTTGGACACAATAGTTTCGAGGCATCTAACGGACAAAACTTTGTCCAGGGTGGACAGCGTATTTTCATTTTTCGGTAATGAAACGTTTTTGGATACAGTCTTCCGAAGGGATTCTGAATACAGAGAAATTTTGGGTAAAATTGTTAATGATTTGAACAAAGCTATTGATAATGGAGATTTGTAATATAGTGAATGTTTCATCTCGTGACCAAAATAATAGTTGTTCGTTCAAATTGATGACTCACTGCTCAAATTGTTCTCACTTACTGGTCCTGCTAGCACACAAATATTGGTCAAAGGTTGTAGGAGGTGGTTTGTTGCGCTATAACTTACGAACATTTTGTTTTTTTATAAGCATGAACGTTTCTGCTGCTACAGAGCAATTAAGCAATTATCGCATTTTTGAAAACGTCCATACTATCACGTCTTCAGAGTCGTTGACAATCCAACGTTATGGAACCTCTAAACGGGCAATATTGTTACATTATCTAGCTGCAATAAAGTAGCAACTGCCTTATTTTTAATATGGTTCGCTTGTATTGCTACACATGCTTGACCAAATATGGCTGTCAGATTACCGAACTATTGGAATTCTACATAATGTAAGCTGCCGCGTCACTTTTTCTTGCCTGATATTGTAGATTCAAATATATGGCCAAATGCTTCACGGTAGCTGGCCTTATAGCCAAATATTGCTTTAAAAATATAGCTGTTTTGAGAATTTATTAATTTTTGTGTGCTAGCAGGGTGGTACTTGAAAGGTGCCGTCCAATTAAGAAGTGTTCAGTTTGTTTGTTGTTTTAGGTATTAAGTGTATTTTTAATTAGAACGAACAGCTCTTATATAATTATACTTTACATATTTACACATATCTCGCCTATACATATATTTGTATTTTTACTCTTAAAGACCATCTACTACTTCAAATGGAACAACTCTACTTTTGATAATAGAATCATTCAACTTTGTAAGAATTTCATACTCTGTTATATTCCTCAGGCCTATGAACATTTCATAGCAAGGTTATGTTTTTTCTAATTATCAGTATTTTTTAAAAACTCAATAGGCAATGGTCTGTACTTAAACTTCTCGGATATCAAAATAAGGGGAACAAAATTAATTCCGATATTGTAGTCCATTAACAGTAATAACTTTGGTACTAGTCTTTTATTTATGACTTATTTATTTTTGTACTGATATTTTTAGGAATAATATTTCTTGCAGATTGCACGAATAACGTTGATATTTCCTTGAAAAGGGCACATGATATGCATTTATTATTTGTTTTAATATAAATTCAGCACATTATTATGTACATTTTTACTATATGCCGTAATTAAGAAATTTTGGGCACATACTCGAAGTGCGACCGATACGGACACTTCCATTTAGTATTTGAAATCAAGTTTGTTTGAGCACATGAGTACATGACTATACGCATATGCTTCAGGAAGTACTCAAATATCGCCCGATTATCGATTACTTTTAGATAATGTTCTTGCTTTTCTGTTATTATGAGTTTTAACTATAGCTCAAAGTCTTAAACACTGAAAAGGTTGAATCAAGATAGATTTCCACAAGGATTTCTGATTAACATCTACTTTGCTACTAATAACAATAAGATTTGAAAAATGGATGCTTCTATGTTATGGTATTGTCGTAAGGAGGGTAACAACTCCAAGTAAACATTTAGATATTCCACAAGGACTGTTTGTTAAGCAAAAATAAAACGGAGAGAAACCGAAGAAAGAGCTACTCTATAAACGATATTAGCCTCCCTTGAGGACTCCCAAATGTAAATCAAATATGGTCCAATTACTGATAAATCATGAAAACGTGAAATGGTTTATGACGAAAGATGTTCAAATACAAAATCCACCAACTTTGAATGGCAAATGAACAAAACTGTTGAATACCTTACAAAAAGTATCTCGCATGGATGTAGAAAACAGAAATGAGTGAGGATTATGAGTTGCGATGGGGTTTAGTTGTTGGTACAAGTCAGATTAGATATTGTAGAAATTATTTGACAACTTAAATCATTTGAACCCGTACATGTGCATCAAAGATATTTGATATTCCTGAGAATGAACAATGTTGGCATGGACATATAGTATATTATTATTTGTCGGTACTGCCACTTATTAACTCTAAGTACTTGCAAGCTTCTAAAATAATAGACCACGCCTTGCGTGTAACTTTTAGCCAATAATTTTGATTGATTTGATTTTATAATAAAACAGCTAAGACACATTAAGCATTTGAAGCAAATTTTAGAATCCACCAAATTTCCTGTAAGGTGCACACTTGTAACCTTTAGCCAATAATATTGATCACTGATTTGATTTTTTAATAAAACAGCTAAGACACATCCAGCATTTGAAGCAAATTTTAGTATCCACAAAATATCCTGTAAGGTGCAAACTTGGAAAATTCAACACTAAACGTTTTTAGTGTACCATCTTGTACAGTGTATTTTTGTGAAATATCTGTATTATAAACTGATTGTTGTGATACAAATGATTAAAATGCTGAAAATGTAAATATTGTGTAATCTGAAAAACCGCTTAAGAGATGCGGGGTTGGACAGGCGCCCATGGCGGACAAATAACAAGACGTCGATTTGAGGCTTACGAAAAGACGCAAAGTACAAACCCTAATAAGAAGGGTACAGTCAAAGAACAGGGAATGTCCTAATGAATTGCTTTCAAGAAAAACGCAATTAACATTACTTTTATTGAGATCAAATTACTTAGAACTAATTGAATGTTTAATATTTAATATAATTTTGTTGTTGACAATGGACTTTTTCGTGATTAAACATATTTAAAATGTCCAGACATAAACATAGACAAGCAATGTCCAATTCAGTCATCAGCATCTGTGGTTTTTGTTCCTTGTTTTAGTCATTTCTAAAATGCTTGCGCTGTTGTAGTAGTTTAGTACAAAATGGCATTAGACACATCTTGTGTCTGTAAATTCACTTACAGGCAAAAACCCTTTCTCCTGGAGCATTTTCGTTAACTCTGGATGGTGATGTGATAGGTTTGTTCTTGAACTTTTAAATAATGCATACAAGCGAAATGGCAATTCCATGTTAGTTAGTAAATATTATTCACGAATGATGTGTGTATAAGTCTTAGCATTGTATAATTTTTATTTTGTCCTATCACAAAATATAATTAGGTGTCTCGTTGATTTGTCTATTATCTTATTAGTAATAAAGTCAAACGAAAAGGAAAAACTTTATCTGACCCGTTTTTGGCACGTTTCCTAGCACGAATAGAAATAATCCAGTTCCCTGATTATGAAAGACAATAGTCTGTTGCTAGAACATTTTCCTGATTTTTGATTTGTTGTTTGGCTCTTTTCTCTATGATGAAATACATGAGCTTGAATGAACTTTATTTAAAATTGTTTGCTGTTTCAATTTGCCTATTCTAAACACATAACCATCAAAAGTACTGCATTTTTTCATTCTCGGATAGCCAAAAGCAATGTTAAACAGTGTGCTAAAAATATGCCTGTAAGACTCATAGGAAACTATATAAACAAAATGTGACATACCCTGTTCTTTGCCTGTACCCTTCATATGCTGCAAGTTTGGAATTTAATACTTTAGTACAACTTCTATCTTTCTGTTTGCTACCTCACTGAGATCAAATATATTCGGATTGTACATACAGCCGTCACGATATTGTCACACTTTATTCGTTTGTATTACAACCATCATACTCCATGTTAAAAGCATTATATACCAAAAATGTATTTTTTTAAATAACACTAAATGTGATTGTCGTCTTATGTATAGGATGATTCACGTTAAAGATACCAGGAGTATTTTTCTGAAGTTAATACTTCATATTCTTGGTATCTAGGGATCATCCTGTACGTAGCGGTAGTTGATTGTATAGCAATAATATATCGATATTATTTATTGTAATAAATCGTAAAAGAAAAAATTAGTTTTTCTTAGAATGTTTACACGTTGTCGTGCAGGTTCGAGTCCTGTCAGAAACTTTTTCCTAGCTATCACTGTCATGTATAAGTGGTACCCACCAGTAGCGATTATGGTCTAAATATAAATAAATATCGTTAGGTGTCTCTGCATTTCCCATGCAACGCCGTCATCAGCTCATAAAGGATTATATTCAGCACAAGTTGGAGCCTGTCGAAATTAGATAGCGCCGTACTTAGACCTCATATCCAGAATAGATGATAGTTACTATGCTTTTGTTTGTTGTCCTAGACAACAATAACACGATGCGTCAGGCGTGGCAGTGCGACAGACCAGTCGCCACCCGATGAAGCCAGACACCAGATTCAGGGCAAACACATTTCTCTATCGTTTAATTCATTTTAATGGCAAATATAGGAGAAAATTTTGTTTGAAATGTGTCTGACAGGCACGTAGAATTATCTTGTTTGGAAGTGTATTAATATACAAAGGGTGCTATAAAAGTTTTGCAATACAGGGTTTGTCCGGAAAGTATTAGGACTTATTTTCTTCCGCCATGACTGTACTTCGGAGCGTGCGCGCACCGACTGGATTCGATAGAGGACGTTCCTAACGAATGAGCGGCTGGTCAGTTGTCTCCGAGCACTTGGAGAGTCAAGACAGGCATTTTCGCGCGTGTTTCTGTGAGTGGTGCAAGCCGAAAATGCAGCGTTCGTTAGAGCAGAGGTACGCGATTAAATTTTGTGTGAAACTCGGTAAATCTGCAAAAGAGACGTTTGATATGATCAAGCAGGCTTACCCAGGTGTTGCTTTAGCAAGAAGTGGTGTGTTTCGGTGGCACCAGGCCTTTTTGGAGGGCCGGGAAGAGGTCGCTGATGAAGACCGTGCTGGAAGACCTTCGACTTCGACAAGCACCGATAATGTGACTCGTGTGCGCAAAGTTTTGAACTCAGACCGTCGACTAAGTATTCGTTTAATTACCCAGATGTTAAATTTACCAAGATCTGGGTCCGACAAGACATCGAAGCCGACTGGAAGTTGGACCACGACAACGCCCCGGCTCACACCGCCTTTCTTGTGAACAGCTACCTGACCAAGGCCGGCATACCAACGCTTCCGCAGCAGTCCTACAGCCCAGATGTAGCCCCCCGGACTTTTTTTTGTTGCCTGAAAAGGCCAATGAAAGGCAAGCATTTTGAGACGACAGAAGGGATCCAAGCAGCATGCACCGCAGCTCTCAAGGCTATTCCGGAGAATGCCTTCCGTGACGCCTTCAATGCTTGGAAATCGCGCTGCATCGACGCAGAAGGAGTCTATTTTGAAAGTTTTTAAAGAATTGTAACGATTGGCTCAATAATTTTTTTTAAATCGACTCAGTCCTATTTCTTTCCGGACAAACCCTGTATGACTTAACAAACTGACGTAGGAGACTGCATGTTGAGACATGACCATGAGTGCATAGTAGCCGCCAGCAGCACGTCTATTGATTTAGTTGTTCATTCGTAATGACAGTGTAAAGTGAGGACTATGGCATCGTGGTCACGTAGTGAGATAAGGGCAGTTTTACGGTATATCTTTTCGCGTGGTTTGACGAAGACCGGAGAGTGACTTACCAACAGATAGAGGAGACCATACACCTCAATGCACCAGCAATTCATTGAATTCTGCGTGGCCATTTACACGTAAATAAACTTTGTTCTCTCTGGGTACCGCGTCTGACGGAAAAGCAGAAGGCTCGTCGTACGACTTGGTGCAGAAAGATGCTGAAAATCTTTGATAAGGGGCAATCTCGGCATGTGAACAACATCGTGACAGGTGACGAGACTTCGCTCTATTAATACGAATGAGTGACATGTATTTTCATTATGCACATGTCATATAACATCCAAAAACATAAAAACTCATTTTAGAAATTTTTCGTGATTACGAGACTTCCTCGCCCGCAGGCGTACGAGGTAAAAAAGCCAAAAAGTCTATTAACTAATAGGAACTGAGGTATGTAATGATTGGGCCCCACATAGGCACTATTAATGAAACACATTTTTCATTATCAATTCATGCATTCAACAAAATTACAGTAAAAATAAATAATACATACATTTACAACTTATAATATACTGAATGGAGGGATTAACAAAAATATGGATTTTTTCTACAATACTGCGGCACGTTGGACAAAATATTGTATTTAACACAAGCCATGATTAGACTTCTACCTCACAAAAATGAAAAATTGCTAAATTAAAAATTTTATTGCATTTAAGACGCTTTTGAGCAACAAAATACAACTTTTTTTTCATTTTAATATGATAAAAGCCCAATATACGCAAAATAGAGTATTCTATGTAAAATCACACGTCATTATAAGGGTATTTATAACAATGGTATACCTAAATAAAATCGGAGAAGGCGCAATTATATACGTACAAAGATGTCTTCATAAAAATTCTATTATACTTTGCTATAGAAATTTTTGTGACTGAAAAAAATTTCGTTGCTGTATTGCTGTACGCTATCCAATCTTGAAGTACCAATATTTATCAGTATTTTATCGAAAAACTAGTTTAACGACTCTGTGTCGTTTCAAAAATTTCAGTTATCCTAAACACTTTGCATTCACTCGGTTGATTCTTATATGAATATATCTTCTATCCCTGAGTTATTTTTCTACAAATTTCATTTGTAAATTCTGAACATTTAGCTTTACCTCCAAGATCACCTGCAATTGAGAAATAACACAATTAGATTCTGGAAAATATCTTTTTTAATCAAGAGCACTAACATTTTCAATTATAATAGGCTTTACACGATAAAATAAATTGAAAAAATGTTTAACCTTGAAGTTAGAGTGCAATTATAAAAAATGTCTATTTCTTCACAACAATAAATTCATGAATATGACTAGTTCTAATTTTCCGTCAATTTTTTATGGAATTCTATCTACTTCCGGTTCTTTTTTCTAGATAGCAACCTTTGTTATTTGACATGATCATGTTTTGTGATTAAACTCATTAAAATTATAATCCTTAAAGTTAGGCTTGGAACTTTGGTTTTAATTTAAGATTTAATATTCCAACAGAAACAATCGGTATGTAATACCGTCGTCTTTTTATTAGTTAGGTTCATTAAACATTATAGGTTATATTTTGGTATTTTTCCCCTGAGGTTGGTATAATAGGAAGTTACTGTATGTGTTGGTATGCTTCACTTGAATAAATTTGATCGTGTAATTTTGCTAGATGTTACCTTGTCGAATTTTATAAATTTTTCTTACAATTTAATCGTAAATTTATTTGATTGTGTAAAGCGGCTATAACTCGCGAATATACGCGTACATCGGTATGTGTTATTCAGAATGCACTAGGGTAATCATGACCAAACTGTGTTTCCATGTTCTATGATGGAGAAGAGTCTACTGTGCTGGACGTGTAAACGCAGTAAATCTTTCAATCGATAGGAGAATCAACCAAATCTCTAAATTCATACCTGTTAAATATTTAGCTTCCTTTATTGTGTCAAAACAAGCGTGCTGAATCTTATCCGCATGGTCGTTCAGATTCATGTATCTCAACATCATCACCGCTGATAGCAACAGAGCTGTTGGGTTGGCTTTGTCCTGGCCTGCTATGTCTGGGGCAGTTCCGTGAACCTAAAGCAATATTATGTATGAAGCCCCAATTTTTCGTAGAATCCTTTATGCAACAGTTGTGTGTCTTGCAACAGTGCCACTCGATCATGTACGTCAAGCATTGTAGAATGACATTATCACGCTGTCGTGTACATGAATGAGTGCATCGTGACAGTTACTGTTGTGTGTACGACAATTTGCGGAAAAATTATCTTGGCCTGCCGTACTAGTCCTACTCCAATTTTTATAACTTACCGATTCAAACAGGGCTCCATTGATTCCGATGTTACCGCTAGGTGTCAGACCCAAGCCTCCTACCAATCCTGCGCACATATCTGACAGAATGTCACCATATAAGTTTGGCATCACCAAAACATCATAGAGGGAAGGGTCTTGTACCATGTTGAGACAGACAGTGTCCAAGTATCTTTCTTCAAATTTCACGTCGGGGTATTTTTTCGCCATCTCTCGGCAGCATCTCAAGAACAAACCGTCGGACATTCTCCTGTCAAAAGAACATAAAAAAAAGTTTAGAGCAGTGATATAGAAAATCTGTGGCAGTGACAAGTGGTTATGTGGTGCAGGGTTTTTCTAGGAACATTTATTTTTCGTACACTTGTCACGTGCCAAAATCACGCAACCTTTTTTTTACTATTTTGATTATACAATCAATAAGCTATGAAATTTACCAAAAGAAAATCATTGAAAAGGGTTTGGCCTAGGAATGGGCACTCTACCATCAATAAAGAAAAATTCGAATGACTAGTCAGTGATCAAAGTAGTAGAAAAAAAGGTTACGTGATTTTGGCACGTGACAAGTGTACGAAAAATAAATCTTCCTGACACACTATTTTTGTTATTTTGTATGTAGCATTGCAAATAAACAGGGTGCCCTAATGACGACCTTTAGGCGATTCGTTGTAACTACCTAGAAATCATAAAGGCGGCGACTCACTGAAGCTGAGCGCTGTAATTTAATCGAGCGTTACAGTACAAAGTTCCTGATTTGAGTCCAGCGAATGTTCACTTGGAATGCTCGGCTCAAAAGTGCTCTAGTTTGTCTGCTGCAGTCTGTGTCGAAATATCATACCTAGAAGTAGCTAGTGCTGCGTTTATATTAATGGACTATTGCAACCTAATAAAAAAAGAGATAAATGGTGGTGCGACATCAATAAGTATCTTAAAAACGAAGAGCTGTTATCATCCATGTTTCTGATCTTGTTATAATATTCCGCCTGTTGGGGATCTCATAGTATACTTTTAATACAATATAAATCAATAAAAAATAAAGTTTTCTCCTGGGACCACTCCATTAATAACGTGTGTTCAGAGCTCTATCTCAACTAATAAAATGAGGAGACTGCAGAGATTGTGCTCACAGACGAACTAAGTCGCCACCTGTACTGACTTGTAATGTAACCATCAAAGGCATTTGTCAAAAAACCGACATTCAGGTGGAGCAGGATTTGCTCGACGTGAGCTTTTCTGTTCGGCGCATGCTTTAGCGATTCACTAGCGAATTTTTGTGTTACATTACGTTACAGCGTTGCATGATCGAACTAACGCCTTCGAAATTGCTACAGATGTATACCTAGTGTGAAACTTAACAATAATGATGATATAAATGTGTTATCGGTTGCTTTACCTCTGAAGCCGATTTGTATAGTCAAAAAAGATTCTAATAGTGTCTCTCTAGATACTAGCTTGTTGCAAATGTCACGACGAGAGAGCTATTAGAAACTAACATGATTATTTGCAAATACTGTCGATTTTTTCCTATTAACCTCTGTTTTGGTAAAATTTACTTACATGATGTTAGCTTTGTGCACAGCTGTCACTTTTTTCCTATTATTGTCTTTGGCATATTGGAAAGCAAATTCAGCTACTCTCATTGACGCATCTTCAGTGATCAACTTTATACTTTGTACTACACCTTCCACAATTTCATGCTCGATGCCAGAGTATTCTCCCTCAGTGTTTTCTCGTATTGTTATCACATCAACATTATCATACAGGGTTTTGTATCTGAAACAAAATGGTAACTTTTTAAAAAATTCATACCATGCGTAGTATTCAGGTGGAACTAATACACTTCATAAGCAACAATTCATTTGATTATTGAGATTTCTGTTATGATGCTATTTCTATTTTTATTTTATATTTATTTTTCGACAGTTATTTTGAATACTCACCCCTCAAGGCTTCTACAAGGCCTCACATTTGCATATAGGTTGAATTCTTTTCTCAAGGCCAAGTTCAAAGATCTGTGTCCCTTTCCAACTGGGGTCATAAGTGGTCCTTTCAGGCCAATTTTATTTTTGTTTACTGAATCAATGGCTGCTTGGGGAATACCAAATTTCCCATCAGGACCCTATTAAAAAGTCAACCAAAATAAAGAAGTTTTATTGTAAAATTCAATGATCTGATAGAAATCATATAGCTGCTGGTTTATAGAATGTAATTTCCTACATACCCTAACTGGTGTGACATCTACACTTTCCCATTCTATGGGGACTTTGGCGGCATCAAAGATTTTTTGTACAGCTTCAGAAATTTCTGGGCCAATTCCATCACCAGGAATAATGGTGCATTTTTTTAGTTCACTGAAGTACCTGGAACCACTAACAGGTGACAATCTCTGAAACAAGAACCTTTGTTTAGAAGAGGACATGTAATTAGAAAAATAGGTTGTAATGTTCATGCACAAAAACAATGTTAAACTTAGAAAACATAGCATGTTAAATTAGTAAGATTAGTCTTAAACCACACCTTACCATACACTATGTTTCTTGTGACGTTATGTTTATGCCAGAATACGATATTTTCGCCTACAGAGCGAGGTCGTGTCAAATTCTTATTTCGGAAGTTGTTGCACTCAGTATAAAACTTCTTGCTGCCCAAGAGCTACCTACCTATTACCGGGTTGCGGAACAATTCCACCAACGGGCCACTTTAACATCGTTTACCAACAAAAATAATGTGATAAACAAGGACCAATCGACCCAGGCGGTACCAACCGCTAGCTTATTCCAGGTTGTTTTAAAAATATCCGCATGTTTCGACACCTAAGCTATGCAGCCGGTTCTCTTCTTTTTCCACCTTTACCTTCCCTCATTTTTATGATGGATCATTCCGGGCCTGAACTCACTCCACTCTCGGATTGTCCAAGTGGAGGGTGGATGCACAGTAACAATGATCTGTGGTAAAATCGTCTCGCCACGGTTTTTTTGGTGGAGACCAAAATCTCCTATTCTGCCCCGACTAACCATCTTAGTTTTCCACTACAAGGTGCACAGGATGTCCTACTTGATAACCTTGCTGTCAACATCGATTTCTTGAACATCAGTCACCCTGCTTCAGAGGTAATTTACCTCGGCGATTTTAATGCCAATAACAAACTGGTTGGGCTCAAACAAGATCGATAAAGCAGGTCGTGCCCTGTATTTAGGCTTCTGCGGATGCGTTGGTATAGTTGTAGTCACCGTTCTTGGTGGGTCAAAGTAAGACTACCAGTATCATTTTATATACCTATATCTTCCTCATACAACCTGCCCCTGTGTGTGAACGTTTGTTCGGTAAGCTCAAAGACATGTTTTGTAGTTGTGTGTCTCCGTCTCGAAAACTTTGTCGTTACGTATGGGTGCCCTTCAATCATATTTGTTGACAAATTACTTGACATCGGCGTGCAATTCGAGTTGTCCTGTTATCAATCTTCAATATAAAATTGTACAATGACCGCAACATACGATCAATCGCGAAGGCCGACAGCTCATGCCAAATTTATTAGAGTATTTCCAGGAAGAGAATCGAAACAGCGGTCACCTGTTACACACTTCATGCGTACTGGAGAGAGTAGCAGATGCGCTGAAGATTAGTCTGCGCAGTGTTCCGCCCATGGTACGGAGACTCTATCTGTTTACTTATTTCATATCTTTGATGACTTAACCGCCAAGAATGGGGACTACAACTATATAAAAAAATGCGGTCAAATACAGATTTGGTAGGTCAGGTTTGGGTCAAAGTCCGATCCAACCTACTGCTTCAGAGTTGAGATGCGTCTCTTTTGGTCAGATCATAATATTGCCAATGTACTAGGTTAAGATGGGTGCTTAAGTAAAATGTATCAATGAAAAATAATACAACAATCCATGTTGCACACTCACAATAATAGCAAAAAGTTTAATTTGTTATTTTTGGACCCATCCATTCCGCCATAAGCTAAGTTACAGCTGTTTTTCTCAAAAAGTTATCAGCCAAACAGGGTAAGCTACAAGCTCTAGATCTCTGAAAATGGTCGTTAACTAAGAATTTCTTAGTTTTTGTACTAGAAATCTGGTAATTACTAATTAACTCTTATCATGTAATTGTTGTATAAATCGACTGTGAAAAGTTCAATGTCATAGTTTATGGAATTTTTTGCTTCTAACATCACGTGATTCTGAAATGTAATAATTATTTTAGGATTTTTCGAGACATGTTTATCTACAATATGATTATGATGTAACTCCATTTGTAATATCCTCACTAGGTACGTAGTTTATCAAATCTAACATCTTCATATTATCAAGGCTTGATGAAAACCTCTGGCCATATTGCACTGTGCCAAACATTCTAATTTGATTGAGATGTTCCAGTATTTACAGTGTACTTACCGGGGGCCTCATCTCTTGAGATCATGCAACTTTGACACATGAAAAAATTATAGAAATTTGACTTTCATTTTTTAGTTGACACATTTTTTTAGTGGACTACGTTTTACAGCCAAGTCTGCTTTACTAAGTAATATTTTTGTTCAGAGATGATCTCGGATATATGGAAACAGGTTATACATATTCAAAATCCTTTCTATGTATTTCTTGAACAAGTCAAGTCAAAAGCTGGAATGCATTGTGATGAATATGATATATGAGAACTGTTTTAGTGTACATGTATGTGAACATTGAAAATTTTAAGATGGCAGCTGGATGCTATCTTAGAAAATTTTATTAAATTGAATGGGGCATCCTGTGATAGCTCATGAACTGTCTAATGAGTATTTTATAACCCTACAAAATAAAATCACTATCTCTCAAAATGGCAGATTGGAAAACTGTCAAGATTGAACGTTATTGTATCACTTATGACTCAACCAATCATATATAGCATAGTATGTCAATCTTCTGATCTTGGAAGGATTTATCAGAATGTATAATAAAATATAGAATATTCCATTAAAAAAAAAATGTCATAATCTTTTTATTGTTTAACATCCCATGTTATTGCAAAGTTGATTCTAAATTATGGAGAGCCGCGGGACTGTAAGCGCGTTCAGACATAATTAACGTAATAAGGTAATCGACACCCGAGCCATACAAAGACAATGTACGATTGGCACGTACCTGGGTGTTCCTGTCGCCTGGTCTAGAGGAGCTATTCTCTCTTCACAGCTTCTTCTTAGGTTCGCCGCACTTGCCTTAGCGACTATCTTGTACCCGGTTTAACTAGGATTCTTTTATCGAGGTTTTGTAGACGACAGTTGCCTTTTCTGATCTTTACGAACTGACTTCACAAAATCTTCTTCTTCTTGTGCGCATGTTTGACTTGTTTGCGCACGTGCCAAAGGGTTAGAATTTGTATGGATTTTGAGTTCAAAATAATAAAGTATGTTTTAAAACTTGCATGAACATCCCATTTATATTTGGCATACTTAGATAGATCCTTCCAAAAGAAGAAGATTAATATAAGATATTGTTACATTTCAATAAATGATGATGTTGAGTTATAAGCGACTCAATGTGCAAAAACGCGCAACTGCCAGTGCGCCAGTTTCAAAGATAGTAAATTTTTATTTTAGAGCCAGAACGTCCTGCTAAGGAGCTTTGAAATTAAGTATCACAGGACCCCATATTCTATTTGAAGAATTGTTCTAAGATGCACTATATGTTCATCATGATCATCACTCTATTTAACTTGCAAACATATCTTAAAATTTTTTGATGCTTTAGTGCAACACATAAATATTCTTACTTATAAAAAACAATTTCCCTGAATACATTTGCCTAATCTTTCATAATAAGCCAACATATTTTGTCGATAAACTAGTCTGGTTCGAATAAATACGTGATATGCAGCTGACTCTCAAGCAGAATCAAGAAAACTGGTGAAACTGTAGATGAATAATACCTAAACTTCAGTAATTTTTCCCCAACAACTCCTCAATTTCTCTGACCCTCAGAATGATTCAAATAAGTTCTTGAGCTGCGATCCATCAGTATTTATCATGGAATATGATATGTATTGACTATGAAGCCCTGATGTCAGTAATTATTGATGTATAAGATTACATAGAAATATACTGACACTGATGGATCAATCAGCACATACTGATGGTATTAATCACAGTAAATACTGATCATGTGATATATGCCTAATAGTGTAGACATTCGCACTTGAAGCAAGAATGACACTCTATGTCTATATGCATTGAAAAAGAAGATCACAGAGATTATTAGCTACACTAGAACATATTGAAAATATTTACTTGCTCAGGATGATAGGATCTGTTTATGGGTACTTCAACTAATAAATTTTAGACATGAGCCATTAACTACTATACAAAAATGGTTAATATTATAAAATGAACAATCAGTAACTCTCTAGCTTAGCTACACCAGCTGTTTTTGATGAAAAAATTATTTCAGATCATAGTTTTTATGTATATATGAAAAAAATAGGACTGAAAATGAACACAAATGAGAAAGTTCTGAACTATTTTACTATATAATAGGTTTTTATTTTAATAACTAAATTTGTATGTATGATTTCAAACTCCACACATACATAACGCGAATCAATGGGGATCAAATTCTAGAGCAAAAGGAGAGCTGCTTCGCATGAAAATGTGTATTTTTGTTAATTTTCTTATATTTCTTCAATATGGCATCGTCCTTGTATGTATAGGATCTGTTCCATTCTGCAAATGACATATTTAAGGTGCATATATCTTTTAAATCCTACATAATATCAACTTATCAACAATATTCTGCAAGTAATCCATTTGCAGACATCTCTAATCTCATTTTGATCATGTACCATGCAAACCTAGTGTCTATTGGATGAAGAAACAAAAAAGGCTGGTAGCCAAGCTAGAGAATTACCAAACAATCTTTTCTTCATCTGATGAACTTTTTGCTATAATTCACTACATTACAAACAAAAACCAGCACTACATGCACATGCATAATTTTTGTATGATTTGAATTTCCAAAAGACAAGCTGGGTAGCTACTGCTGATTATAGACTGCAAAACACCTAAATCGAATATTTTATCGTTTGATACGAGTCTATTCTAAAAATAAAAAGGTTTCCAGCCCAAAAGCATGTGATTCTAACCTTATTTCTGCCTCACATAAATTTTGTTATGTAATCTACTTACGACGTTTTTGCTTGTTCCTGAGGGATTCTGGGGATTTTTCTGTAGAAATTTGGAAAGCTTTTCCCAAATTTTGCCTTTTAGGTTACCCGAAATTAAATTTTTCACATAGGAGACCATAGTTTCTTGCCAAATCTGTTTTCTATTATTACCTAATATCTAATATGCATCGAGTAGTTTTTATCGACTCTTATGCAGTCAATACTTTCGAGAATCTCATACAGTAAATTAATATGCATGCTCATTAAAAAAAGTATTTTACTCACAATTTTCCGTAATATATTCATTGCCATTTTAAATCTTGTCCCAGAAAAAGTATAATGTTATTTTGGCCTTTTACGTAAAAGTTTCTGTCAAAAAAAGGTACATTTTGAGGTTATATTCTCTTATATGTCACGTGTTTCAATGACCAGACGGCAGATGTCGCTTCAATTTGGTCTTGCGCCATCTTTAAGCTACCACTTAAAGTATTTATATTTTCTTTGGAATCTTAAAAAAGTACAGGTTTCTACGGCAGGTGAAGCTGTTTAGTCACATAGATTACTAGGAGATGGTGCTTATCAGTTAATGCCGTGACATCTAGTTTCTATGATTGGATCTGTTCAGTTAAGTTGAAAGGCATGCATGCAGATTTATAATTTAGTATTTATGTCGGGTTCATGCACGACTTAAACTAACCGAACTTAAGGATTAGCTGTTTCTACACCAGTGTCCTCCACATGTTACGCCTCCAGATAGTAACTAGCTAGTGACTTCCAGTGGTGGTCAAACGTTTTGGTGACGTCACACCCATTTTTTGACATGATTCGGGTGGTTTCGGAACTCGTGTTACCTTGGATAGCCCTTTCCATACTGTTCTATGCTCGTATTGACGTAATTATAATAATTCTGTGGTGTCCCGTGTTCCACGACGATTTACCCAGAAAGCCAGGCAGTGACTCATCTGTTGTTTTTGTTTGAGTTGTTGACGAATTTGTGGTAGAGATTTGTTTTGGTGTTCGTCTTCGGGTGTGTTTTTCTGCCTTTGACTTGTTTTTTGTGCGATTAATTGAGGATGGCCATGCCTAGAGCAAAATAACGAAAAGCCGCGGTGGTATCAACTCCTGACCTTGTTGAAGAGGTACCTGCAGAAGTCACCTGAACGCAATCGGACACCGCCAGAGGAGCGCCTAATGATGACGTTGCAGTAAGTATCCAAATCAGTTCATTTTTGCATAAATGACAAAATATATTGAGGTTATGGTCGTTTTCTTAATTTCAAGGTCACTTCTTAAATTAAAGTTCAATATATTGAACTTTTCCTTAAGAACCAACCAATCGGATCACTAGCGTTGGTCAGCTGATCGCGACAGCTGGAATTAGAAGATGGCTACGAGCCATCGATACTGTACAAAAGTCGATAGTCGATATTTATATCGTGATGTTTGATCGATTTTATATCGCTATATGGGCAGATGGTTCGGTGATACTTGTATGAAAAATTATTTGCACTTGCTTACGCATGACAGTTTAGAGCTGAACATCGGGGCGGATTGATAAAAAAAATCATGTATGTTAAAAATTATAATAATTAAAGTCAGTGGTCATGTTTCCTTCATAAATTAGATCAAAAAACAGCATGAAAAAAATACCAAGATAGAGGATTTTGAAATTATATTCTAGAGAACGAAAAAAAAAAATGGAAATGATCTTAAAATTTTGTGCTTGTAGTACTGACTTCATAGCTGATAGATGCAAACACTTTCATGTCTGAGACTGTACCTGTGGTGATGCTGGCAAATTATAGCCCCTACAGAAGAAAAAAGAGAATTTAAATCTATACCATGCCCCCCATGACATGTTTTTCCAAAACCTCACAGAACACTGTGAAGGTACTTTGTCATTAACTACAAACCAGGTGTACACCTGACGAATGCTGTGTATTTGCAGCCCACCAAATATGTAATCTCTTTTGACGTTTATTGAGGTAAACAGATTGAGTAGCACGTAACTTTTTTTGTGACATCTGTACTGTTGGTAATAACAAACCTGGTAAAGTGCCAAATTAAGGACTGGCGTTTGGTATCACCAATGAAAATTTTTTTTTAAACACAGAATTTTGGCAATCAAATGTATACTGCTAGATTGGGAATTTATACATATGTACAGAGCAGTATCATCTGAAGGGGCGTGGTGAGATGACTATGTTTCTGTTTAGTGTTTGCTGACCAAATATGACAGTGATATTATGCTAATAATTTTTTTTTTGTTTCACAGTGTCAAAATCCTCCGAGGAGACAGTTGGAATGAAGATCGTCATTTATTTTATGGATACCAAATTAATTGTCAATGAGAGTTTGCTTCCTAGTTTGAAACAATTACTGTTTTATGTGTTTTTTTTTGTTGAGGACAATTTTGTTTGCCTTTACCCATTAAACAGTGTGCGCAAAACTATTTTTGATTCACATATCAGAGTGATTATATTTGTATTCCAGTCAGTCCTCTACCTACAGATGTATTTTTTGTTATTTTAGTATTTATGTTTTCGCAATAAATGTACCTGATCAATTAACAAGAGATAGTGCTGGCATGATATTGCACTGATCAGGTTCATAATATAGAGAAAAATCCAGATGAGTAGAATACCTCTATGTATGTACAATTTATTGTAATGAAGAATTTGTTCTATTATTGCTGTGACTGTTCAGTAAATATTTTTTTAATTATACATTTTTTTATTATCCTGAAATTCATTACTAGTCAAACTGATGAAAGAAATACTCCCTTTATTGAGGATGTGTTATGCATCTATGATCATCGAACTGCCTCAATATCGGTCGTCAGCCAGATTTCGTAATGTAAACAAATGAAATCGCCGACACATTCCTGACATTCCTGATATGCGTTGTCGGCATACTTTCAATATTTATAGTTCCACCAGATTTCCAGCCAAGAAAAGTGGCGCTGCCGTCGAGGTTATAGTCCAAGAAATATCTTCACATCTGCTCAGGAAAATATTCGGATTCGGGCTTTTTGCATGTTATTCGAAAAAGCCTCCTAGTAACAAATCTACATGTTGTCAGGCTCCAAATTGCGTCTCTAATTGTTTGAACAACTTTTTCAAATAAATTACAAAAATTAATGTTTTCGCTTCATCAAAGGTAGCATTCGTTTTTTTGATACTCCGAAACAAAATGATGTTTGACAATGTTTGTCAAAAATTGATTTTGTACGAGATGGGAAAGTACAAAAAATTGATTTTGCGATACCGAAAAACGATCTGAAAAAACGAAAATGTTAATGTCGCCAAGCTTCATAAATAACCATTAACGATACCTTTTAGGAGATAATGTTATTATAAATCTTTGTATTTAATTTATATGCAAGCGGACGCTCAATGCATATTCAGCGTGCACGAGAGATATTTCATCTCTCTCGCGTTCACATAGACATAGACTATACATTGAGCGCGCATTCAAATGCTCTGGGGGTTTTGTTATTGGTTGGTTGAAGCATGTGTGAGATTTGGCAACAACAAAATATTCATTTTTCATATTGTTTTTAGGGTAGCAAATGACATATTTTGAGTTTTTACATTGCTTATACCTGTATATATCAAGTCTAGAGAAAAGTTCTAAAGCTCATTTTTTATTTAGAATGTCCTAAAAACCGCAAAATACTTTAAACAAAGCGAACAAATCAATTTTTGGAATCGGTTTAATAACAATTTTTGGAGCAATTTTGGGCCTAGTCACATGCAGATTCTTTAAGAGGTCCTTGAATCAGATTATGCAAAAATAGGAATCGGAAGAGTTTTCCGAGCAGATGTTCCAATATTATCTGGACTATTATCCGAGTTCTGTGACCTGCATTGGCGCAAGCGTGTGGGGAGGGGCCACTTGTCAACGTCAAGGCTGGTCCGCCGTCCACGTGACACATAAGCCACAAAACACTCTTTCATCTGCTACTTTGACGTTAAACATATGATTATTTAAGGGTATTTAACTTTCATGTTGCCTCAACTGCTACGTTGGCAATCCTGGCCGCGCATGCGCATGAAATGCTCATTTTCTTAAGTTAAGTTAGCTTAAATCGTGCATGAACCCACCATTAGTTAAAGCTTATGTTTAATGACCGCACAACAGATGACAGATAACTAAATTAAAGCGTCATCTAAGATTTGAAATATTTTTTGGTGCCGCATTGAGATGCTTCTTTTCTGTTCCTGTTCTTGAGCATGCATAAATACAATCTTAATAATCGCCTTGTACACCGGGAACCTATTAATTGTCAAATTTTTTGCATGCGAAGAAATTTTGATATTTTGGCAAGATGGAAGCTGAACCCAGCGACCCCTCTACTGCTTTGAGTGGAGTTGGCGCGGAGTGCAGGGCTACTTTGGAACATATACAACATATACAGCCAAAACGAGATGACGCCAATGATGACATCAGGGATGACGCCGGTGCTGGAGAAGGAAGACGAGAACCAGAGACTTTTAAAGATAATTGCAGACCAAGCAGCCCAGATTCAGAGACTGACTGACTGTGTGGAGTCACTTAATGCCCAGGTTTTTAAGCTTACAAGTATCATTCATAAAACAGTTCTCAATGTTGATTCTTCCAAAACAGCAAAACGTAGACATGACAGCCATTCGAGTGAACTACATACTGAGACCGATGAGGACACACGGTGATCTTTTCACACCTGTGCGACGCGACGTCGCAAAGTGAAACTGCACCAAACAATTTCCTCCGCTACCGACGAAATCCTCAAATAACAAACATTCAGGCAACCTAAAACCGTATGTGTCTGTACCCTCTACTGCTTCTACTAGTACTACTAGTCAGCCAAGGGAAAGACCTTTATCAGCATCTTACACAGAGTGCTCCTTCTGATATACCCCAAGTGCAGTCTGATCCATTGGCTGGCTGCAACTCATCTTCCTTGCCATCCAGCGGATCTCTAAACACACAGGCCCAATCGCCTCGCCAGGGGCGTATTACTCCAATCGTGTAGAGAGAAGCGACAAAATGACGCACTTTAAACTATCGACTCATTGGGCAGTGTCACCGCTGCCAGAAGTATGGACACGCACAGTCATATTGCACTGCGCCGCCAAAGAGTCTAAAATGTGCCCAAGACCACATGACACATGTGCCCTCAAACAGAACAAGATGTGCGAACTGTGGGGGGGACCATCCGGCAAATAGTCCCACTTGTGACACCTCAACTGCCCCTGCTATTTTGAGCTTATCTACGACTACTCAAAATGTGGACCTAGCAACAGCGCTCAGGTCCCTACAGCAGATTATTAGTCCCCTGATAAACGCCACTCAGGCATTGCAGGCGATCGTTCCGCTAAATGGCTAGGTACAATAGCAGACAGCCTGCGTTCATCGAAATTCTTTTCTGGAA